CAGAGATAATTTCTGAAACGAACCAGACAAGTCCGGTGATATCGGGGACCTCGAGCAGTCAAGCGTCGTTGTGCACCTGAAAACAAAACACGCAGAGTAAGCTCCAAGCTTTGAACAGAAACAGAGGTAGCTACTGCTGTAAACATCATAAGAACTCAATTAACTGTGGTTTATTTAACACATGACTCAACAAAATTCCTAGCGATGTGAAAACATTGCAGTCAACAAACTGCATGCACCATTCAGATCATCAGATCTCTATCGTGGGGAAATGGAGCAGTTCGATGAAATGGCAATGGAACCTTCAGAGCCGAGATCAGTAGCATGGTACCGATACACTGACCATGCCGTTGGTGGCATGGAGAAGAACGTCTTAATGTCCAAGCTCACCCAAGGAAACTTTCAGTTCACCTGCGAACGGGAGGTTGTGGGGGGGGGGAGTTTTATTCTTGGACGCATCTGTGTACTGAAGAGACGGAACATTAAGCACTACAACATATAAGAAAGCCACCCACATCGGATCCTACATCAGATTTCATTCTCATGCCTCCATGTCCATAAAAGGCGGACTGGTTCAATTATTATACCCCGGGGTTATAAAATTACGTGAGGACGCCTCTTCACTCTGGCAGGAAAGCGGTAACTTCATTGTTGAACTACAACCGAAGATTTTCTTCAATAGATTTAACGAACACTTTACCGAAGTGAACTGAATACCGAACAGGGACCGAATTTCAAGGGAAACGGCAACAAGCAGAGAAAATTTCCGAAATTCGTTCCTCTTTGTCCCACACCAAAAGAACCTATGTGAAAGCATCAAATGCTTCACGACGAGACACTGGATGGCCACGATCTACAGATGCTGAAACAGACCTGGCTGTCTCCTGTGCAAAGAAGACATCATGTCGAAACAAGAGGTCGCGGGATCTCGGGACGAGAAAGCTGCATTGTCGAAACCGGAAGGAAACTTATGAACTAAGCCAGTGAAGACAACTGGTCTCAACAGCGTAGAAGAGAAAAAGCCTGTCATGGCTGAACGCAGCGTGCTAATGAACCATGTCGAACAGCATCGTCTGCACTCAAGCGAAGCATTTTGAAAGCAGTCCCCGAGGAGAGGATAAAAACCAAAATCAGCAGGAAGCAAAAAATTTAACAAATCAGCCCAGCATAGCATTTCCTGATATGTTATTAAATTTTGTTTAAATGTGCGTCATTTGAACAACTCACATCTCCCATTACAAGATCATTACTACGCTGTAGCCCAAATCGAAAAAGCCACGGTCCTGCCACAAAACACACACAAAAACACACACAGAGCATGTCATACCAAATATCAGAGAACACCTGCTTCAGGTTTGACCCTTTCCACGAATGGCTTGGCACCTTGAAATGCAAGATCTTTGCAGACATTACTCCGGATTTAGCAGTAGTTGCACAGTACCTGAATCCGAATTAAACGATTTAAATTGTAAAATGAAAATACGCACTGAAATAAACTAAT